CCGCTCCAAAAGCAGCCACAAAGCCCAAGCAGAAGCTCCATCAGGCCTGCCCGAGGCCCTGAATCATTCACAAATGAGTTGCAAATTAAATAGAACTTCTTTCAAGAGCCCTGAATAAGGAATATTTACATTTCTTTAAGGAAGTAAATGCTTGCTCAAGATTTGTAGTTCATATTTCTAGGCTTTAGAAAAAGAATTTTTAAATAAGTATCAAAGTAATTTATAGTTTTAGTAAGATTTGGGGAAACATTAGATCTAGAATTAGTTTATGAGTAAATCTTCCAGAAGCTGTACATGATTTACACCCCAGAGACAGTGCCAGTCATGCTTGTTTGTCTCTGCGACATTTTCGGTGGCTGCTTAGCGCACTTGGCGCGATAACCGCGACAGGTTGATGCCGTACTTGATTACCATTTGACAATGCGGCTTAAACGGGGCCCTGCCGCAACTTTGGTGGCGCCACGAAACCGACTGCACTTGCACTATCGATATCGTGTTTAATTAAAGCCCAGCCGGATCAATTTGTGGGCTGCTGCTTCGGGCATGACACGACCTAAAATTAGAATCCGATTTTTCGGGTTGTTCAAGAAAGTCCCTCCTAGTGGGCCATAAATTGCGGATGAGCCCTGGGCCAAGCTAACCCACAACTCGGCCGACTCGCTTCCAGTTAAGATAGTGTCACACGGCCAGCAAAACATTCCGATAAGATCGGGCCACGCTAAAGTCGTCGTCATCGGGGACCACTCCCCCGCCATATGGAGTACACACGGAGTACATGTGGACACGAGTGGCCGCAGATACCTTTGTTTTGGTACACATATCTATGACAAATGTTCGAGTCGAGTGCGCCGGCGATAAGCAGATACTAATTAATAACCGCCGCCCTCTGGCTCATGTCTGAATAGCCCAGCGGAGGCGCGGAGTCGTCATATGGCTACCTGCAAAAGGTATTTGCCAAAAGAAATGGCCAGGCGAGCGATCGATGGATCGTAGTAGCTCGGGGGCGGGGCGTGGTCTACCCATAACCAGTTGTTGGATTTACATGGCAAGAAATACTCAACTGGGTTGGCCATCATCTTGTCAAAAAAGGATATGGAAATGTGTATCATATCAAGTAGAAATAATTCCCTGACTCATTTTAATATTTTTTTGGGTGAATTTTTAAAGATATAATCTGAAGATAAGGTTTCTATTCCTAGAAATGATAGGTCACGGTAAATAAAAAAAGTCCCTAGCTCACTTTTTCTGAAAACCCTCTCTGGTAATTTATATTTATCATTGTTCCTTTGAGTCTTCTAGTCTAGTCTAGTTTCTAGGTGAAAATCTAAGAAAGTAAAAACAATCAAGCTGCATTTTAGTGAACTATATTTTTTAAGCCACACTGGAAATAAGAAAATATGAATTCAAAATACTAATTCAAAGGCTTCATTTGCAAATCTTTGGATTAAAAAATCCTAAAAAATCTCTCACGTTGATTACCTTTTCCTCACTTTTAATTTTTCCAAGTGGCCTTGCAATTTCCATTAATTATGACCGCAGGACGGGGCGCTCCGATCGGCGGCGGCAGCTTCATTGGAAAAACGTGCAAAACGCTTTGGGCCCGAGGCAAATCAAGGCCTAAGCCAAGTGAATGATTCAAATCTCTCTGGCGGTGTGCTGGTGTATGTATTATAGGCGCCACCGGTGATCCAAGAGCTAGTCTACAGGTTGCATGCACCTAATCGCCCGGCGCCATCGTCAGAGTCCGGCAAGGGGTCAAGGCAGCGCCATGCTGGAATCTCGGACCACGCATCGCCCGGACATCAACGCACCGCGTTTGCATTCCATTAAATTAGCCGCCAAGGCAGCTCCTTATTAGCACCATAATTTAGAATGCACGCCCACTTCTGGAATGCCCGCTTCCCGATCCCTGGATCCTCCAAGCTGCAGTCCTCCAGATGCAGTCGATCCCCGGTATGGGCGACTACTGTGCGGTCGCCGGTTTTGTTTGCAATTTGTTAATAGGTTGTGGCATGCAGCATGTAAATACCTAATGCCAGTCTTGGAGCTGGACCAGGTCTGGAGTCTGGAGGCTGGAAACTGGACACGAAGCTGCACTGCCGAGCATTCTCATTAGCCATGCGGTTTGCCCGGCTGCCGGCTACCGGCTGGCAACTTAATCCGCCGGGGCGAGCGCTTATGCTAATGCCCAGTACTGTCCGTGGGCCTGTGCCTATGCCATGATGTGCATTAAATTTGCACACGGCTTTGGCCAAATTAGCCGGTATTGGCCAGTTATTTAAGGCATCTATTAGTCATAAAATCGATTGGATGGAGCCCATGTCCAAGCTGCTCCCTGGGCTCATTCGCACGCCTCGGCCACGGCTCGTACTTGACTTCTGAACCGGCGCCCACCGAGCGTGACTGGACTGGAAATGGAGCCACACCAAACCCAAGCCCAGGCCCAGGCCCCAACCAGACGGCCGAAAGACAGGCCTCAAACACGGCACAGAAATTGGCTAACCAAAACTAACAACAATGATGGTGACTGCTCCCCTTGTTTCTCGGTTTCTCAGTTTCTGAGTTCTGTTCAGATAGGAGATCTGAGTCGCGTTGAGCGCTCGAAATAGAATTTTTCCCACCATCTAAAAATAAAGCGACTAATGCAATGAGTATTTACATGAGGGTTGGCATCGGAACTGCGGCCCCCGACTACAAAATGCTCTCCGAAACTAAGTAGTTCTGAAAGATCTCTAGATTGCAAGATAAATGGTATATTTGTCGTTTATTTGTAAGCAAGGAGGGTGCACATTTGTCTTCGGTGAAAGTAGCTATGATCCCACTTAAGGTGGATTGTTTTAAAAATAAACACTGTTTTTAAGGTAATGTATTTATAAGGTGCAGTGAACGTTTAAAAAATGGATTTTTTATATTTTTAGTACTATAAAATTAAGGGAATAAAAATCTAGGAAAACATTTAGTTGATTTTAGTAGAGAATCTAGTTAGAATTAATATTTCTTTCGAAAAAGAAGTAAAATAGCAGAGTGATTCTTATATATCAAATGAAAAGTATATAAGAAAATTGAAAAAGTGGGTTTCTTAAATTTTTAGTACTATAAAATTAAGGAAAAACAATCTAGGAAAATATTTAGAACGATTTTATAAGATAACCTTTTATAATCAAAATTTAGCTTACGAAATAGAAAAGAATATTTTTGATCCCCTAACCTAAAGCATTTAAAAAGGCTTTAATAATATTTAGTTTGGTAATATTACTGCTACTTATCATTACCCCAAATCTTATCCTAATCATAACCACTTTTCACCTACAAATATTTATTCAACTTCCTTCTAGGAATAACTTCTTCCGAAAATAATAACAATATTTACCCTTATTGATAGTATTGCCAATATTTATTCTAGATAATTTTAATAACCATTTGTATTCCTGTCTACAAACTGGTGTTATCACCTCCCCGACCCTCGTAGCTCAAGTACCCCGTCGCGTAGATGGGCAAAAGCCGAGTTCAAAGTCTAGGCAACGCATTACAATAACTCCGAGTTTCGTGTTGGTTCTTTTGTTCTGTTCAGTTGTTTATTAATTTACCCATTTATATATAGTTTTTCCAAGCTTGCGGTTAGAGGAGGAGTTGAGGGAGAAGTTGGAGTGGAGCTGGAGCCGGAGTCGGTGGCTTTTCATGGTTCAGAGATGCGGAGACGTGTGACTGCAAATTATAAGGCCGGACCGGACCACATAATAATAAATGAAAATGTCTGTTATTCTCATGTGCAAAAGGAGAGGCCCTCGCTTATTATGCAGCTCATTTGCGAAGAGGGCTGGCCGTTCCCGCGGTCTCTCTGATTCTCCCTACTAGTATATAGTCTGGGGAATCGGAAGTTAAGCTAAACAAATATAGGCAGCGGCGTGTAAATGAACTCTGCTCAGCTCTGCTCTGACCTGCTCTCAATCGATAAAGAAAAGTGCTGTTGAGGGAGTTGAGCCCTGGAATTTGGTTTGCTTTTTTGGCTTCGGTTTTTTAGCGCCTCGAAAACAGAAAAAACACGGGAGCCGCTTGATAAGTCCACAACGGACAGCTGTTCGGGGCATCTATCATATGGCGGGGCTTACCGCCTGACATGGGAACATCCGGTGGCAGGAACGCCACGAACGGCCCTCGCTCTGGAAGCAACTGGGAGTTCAATAAACTTGTTCTTGAGCCTCGAAAAGTTTCTGCCGGGCCGAACGAACGAACGAACGAACGAATTTTCAAACTGGCCAGCATCGCCTCCTCCTCGAAAAGGGTGAACTGTTGTTACTGGACGGAGTCCGGCGATACACTTAATTTTGACAGATTACATCTCATTATGTACACCTCGGGGCGGGCTGTTAAAACGAGTTCGATTTCCAGTTCGAGGGAACAGATTGATGGCCAGATATTGGCTTTGCATAGTAATGCGGCCTCGGATCGATCTAAGTTATGGACCTTGCAAATTAATTCCCATTCTCACCGAGGCGAAATTATTTGGCTTCTAGCCGGGGCCAAATCGTACCGATCCTATCCGATCCGACCCGAGTTTTCACATTGTTTATTGCACAGCGAATTGGAGTTCATTTATAAGGCAATTTAAAATCAATTTACTTGTTGCATGTGCCGTTAATTTATCAAGACCTGGGGTAGCTCTCCACCCGCGAGGAGTCAGAGGATCTAGAGCTAGAGAGAGCAGCCTCCTCCATCGCCACTTTTCAACAGTCCCATCATGGGCAATTAATTAAAAATCAAGTGGCGGCGTGGCGAGGCGAGGCGTGCTGGCATTATGATTTTTTCATTGATACAAATATCGCGCTGGCTGTCTGCTCCTGACTGCCCCATCATCGCCAACTTGTTGCCGCTTCGCTTTGGATTTTTTTTTATGGCCCCGTCCGGTTCTAATAGGAGCACATTTATCAGCTCCGTACGTGCGTGGGGCTTAACTGGAATCGCGAGGGAGGTGTTTGAGGAAAAGCTGCCCGGCGTATCAAAACATATAATTTATTAGAAACAAATACAGACTACATAACACGTACGGCCCGGCCGAAGGAAGCTCTATCACCTGTCGAGGCTGTGGGGGACTGAAGCAGGGATGCCCAACCTGGGAGCACCGAGTCATAACAGACAGAAATACTACTTTCTTGGGAAAGATAGAATATTTATAGCAAAGAGAAGGGACAGCGCGCCAAGCTTGTGCACCCCTGCTGCACTAAGACTAGATCTCTATATCGTAATGAGGTGAGGATGCTCCAGGATCACAGTATCACTCCTCTTTCGTCTCTCCCGTCCATAATACATCCCATATTACAGGCAGTAGACCAAGGTCCAAAATAAAGCATTGAACAGGATGAAGGCCAGCGGGAAGACAAAGCGTGCCTTCCGGTCAATCCACAGGGACACCTCCTTGGGGGTCATGGTGGCAAAGGTCTGCGGGGGCTTCTCCTTTGTCGAGTCACCCGACGATGATCCTCCCGAGCTCTCGTTCTCATCCAGACTGATGGCCGAGTCCTCGCGGCTGAGACTGCCACCGATTATGATGGGTGTCTCGATGGTGATGACCGTGTTGTTGGGACTGCAGGACCTGTCCATACTGGTGGTGCTCATGGTGCTATCGGTTCGCTTGTAGCCATGCCGCCGGTGCTTCTTCAGGTGCGGCACGAAGGTGGACTTGACGATGTACTTGGTTGTGCGCTTCTTCAGCTGCAGATCGTTGTTCCGCCGCCAGATTGTGTTTACGAAGGCGAACTCCACCAGGCTGCCAAAGATGAAGATGGTGCAGACCAGGAACCACACCTCGGACATGGTCACATAACTGACCTTGGACAGGTTGTTCTCCTGCGAAAGCGAGAGGGTGATGAAGGACAGCAGGGTGGTGCAGCCAAGGGTGGTGCGGGCCGGTGTCTGGTCCGCCTGCAGCCAAAAAGTCACCCACGAGATGGTCACTATCATAACGGAGGGCAGGAAGTAATCGATGACGTAGTATCCCACCTCCCGGGTCAGCAGCACACTGAAGCTAATGGTGCTATAGTTGCCTTGAAGAGCTCCATGGGTCATCACAGTGCCGTTGGACACGCGAATGGACTCGTTGTACAGCGATCCGATCAGGTTATACTCCGTCAGCTGAAGCTGCGTGTCAAAGCTCACTGGGTTGGTGGTCTCCCAGTGCAGCTCCACCACCGAGGTGTTGTACATCCAGCTCTCCAGGATGGTGGTGCATTTCTGCTCGTCGAAGGGAAACTTCTGGAAGTTCATCCAGCAGTACAGGGTGGCCTGCAGTCGTGTGGAAACCAGGATCGTGCCATCCGGATAGATGGTGGTCAGCTCATCCTTGGCACTGGTTCCCAGAACACTGGACGTCTGCTCGTTGGTCAGGAAGATGTGTGGCACCCAGATCAGCTGCTTCAGGCCCTGCTCGCCCATGATGGGCTGTCGCCGGTGGGGCATGTACTCGGAGTAGGCCAGGCGTGGATCCTTGTAGCGCAGCTGCAACAAGCCCTGCACATTGAACTGCAGGTCACTGGAGTCCAGGTTCTTCAAAACATAGATATAAAATCGGGCATATATGGGTATGGCCACGGGCTCGCCATTCTCGTCGAAGTTCAGAGGCGGCACCATCCTGTCGTAGCGACAGCTGTCCGTCAGCCGCATCACGAACTCCATTTGCGGCAAGGATTCGGCGCTCATCAGCGAGGGACAACCACTGCTCACAGTCTGCGTAAGATTTAGAGTTAAGTCGTAGGCGTTGGAGTTGTTTCTGGGTGCCAGCATAACGGATCCATTGGTACCTTTAGAAAAATTTAAAAATAAATTATGGAAATAGAATAAATTAAAAAATATTACACATTTTTTAAAAGTATGTAACTTTTATTCAAAATCTAAACACATATTTAAGACTGCAGGTATATCCTCGATATTAATACTCTTAGTTCTTGAAAGGATTTGAAAAAGTTGTGAAATCAGAATATATTTAGTAGGGGGAATAAATTTTAAACCGCCAAGCTATTGCCATATGATTGATACGTTTTTTAAGTGCAGATAATTTCCCGCAGTATTTGCAATAATCTAGACGTGACTAAAAATATATATTGTGTCATTAAGATATGGCAACCTCAGGTTGAGACTTAATATTAAAAAAAAGCATTTAAGAATGTCCTTTTTCAAGTAATTAAATCATTGGAAAAAGCTTTTTGTTCAATTATTTTAAATAGTTATTTGGTGACCCTTAAAAAATTTAAATCAAAATAAGTTGTCTTATAAATTGTGAAATACATTTTATATCTCTAGAGGCTCTAAATGTCGCATGAGTTTATATTACTTTATAAACTATGAAATTAATAATACTCTGACAAGATTGAATGAATGTAAATATAAATTTAAATATTATTTAAATATAAAAATTCAAACATTTAAGATAAAGAATTACATTACAAATTTACATAAAATTTGATGCCAAATCTCAATAAAATTTCAAGCTAAATTAAGGAAGTTTCTCAAACCAATTACAAGCAAGTGAAATTACTAACTAGAGCTAAATTTGTTGCTTACATTTTGTCTCTTTAATATAATAAAGAAAATTAATAAATAATTTAAAAAAAATATAATTATTTTCTAAGAATTCTCATTATTTATTATATTCTTCCAGAACTTTTCATAAAAAAATAAAATGATTTTTCAATGTCCTATTTCCTTAGAAGAACTATAGTAAAGAACATTTTCCATAGATTTTCTTTTGCGTTTAAAGTCAAAACTTGAATTTTATGCCTTCAAGGACAAATTATCCCTGCCACAGGACATACCCAGTTTCAACTGAAGATCGCTTAGATCAATCCCAAACGAAGTTCTTAATCCCAAAATGCCGAAAAGTGTTAAATATCTGAATATATCCATTCTCCAATGCGTCATATTTTTGCACCGAATCACGAGTCTCGCTTAGTTGGTATTTTCCCGACGATTTTCTTTTTAATTTTTATGTTCCTTAGTTTCGCGCGCTGCGATTTCACGGCCATTCGCTTGGCCTTTTCCCGATCAACTACTTGACTAAATGGCGGACGGGTTGCAAGTTCGCGGACATCCAAGAATATCGGATGTCGGACCTCGGACGGGCTCGGGTTCGGCTCCGCTTCGTTCTACGTAATATCTATTACTAACTTATTTATTTTAATTGCGAGCAGCTTTTAATTCCTCGCCACTCATGACAGCTTGTTCGGGCAATTATTGTTCGGTGGCTCTTGGCCCCTTATCGCACTTGGCCAAAATCGCCTGTAAGTGCTGGGGGCTTCTCCCTCACCTGCCCTGTAATGCCGTTAATTGCGGTTATCACTGCCGCCGGTGAGAGAGAGTGCCGGAGTGGCCGGAGTACGACGAAATGTTTGCTCATGTCCCGGCTTTTTGATTTAGTGGCCAACGAAACGCCAGTCGGCGGTCTTTATTTATATTCTCATACATACTAGCAGCGAAAGATATTCGCTGTCGCACTTGAAGTTAGCGCTGGCGATCGCATAATTGATGATGACCCCTTGTCAGTAGCGTTTGGCTGTCGGTTTATTTTTGGCACAAATATTTCTGCAGCAACCTGGCCAGATTTGATTAGCCAACGGATGTCGATGAGTACTTCAGTCTGGAGAGAGTCAGCCCCAAAAAGAGCTCTTAACAACAGAAGCAGAAGGTATTGGCCCCCTTTTTTTTTTGTTGAATTTTGAATTATGATTGAAAGAAGGGGTAGTATATAACATATTTTAATATATTTTATTATACTTGATCTCTGAGAAATAACCCCCAATAAAGTAAGTTCAGTTGTTATGATAATATTGCTTTGTTTTTTGGGACCATTTATTCCGCATTCCCATTACTGTCATCTGTTTTCCGTAAAGTGCGTGAGAAGTCTAATGATTTTGAACAACTCCAAACCGACTCCAACCCCTGGAGTTCCCCCAACATATCTCTCTATAGAGACCCCTGCTCATCAGCACTTTAATCAAGCGTTCGAAGCGATGAGCTGCCCGCCCTGTTTTACCCAGAACAAGAACGCCTCCCGCTGTTTTGTTCATGGATAGCCATAAAAATTTATGACTGCACAGCAGCACAGACGACGCACAAAACAAAACTACGTCGGAGTGCATTACGCATGGCTGCGACTGTTGTGGCATCCACACCTAGTCTTATCCCCCCAAAACCATCTCCGATATATACATACACACACACACCACTCCCTCATTAATGCACTTGGAGGACTGGAGGCACGTGGCACGTGCAGCAGGCGGCCCACAACATCGCAGATAGCTGCGAAATCGCAGCAGATTGGACTCTTTGGCTGACAAATGTATGGCTATATCAAGTGTTTGTACGTTTATCTAACAGCTGAAAGTTTGATTTATAATATTAAGTGATCCATCTGGAGGTACTTTAACTGGAAATGGTATTAAAATAGTGTATAGAGTAATTAAATTCCTTTTATAATTATTTAAGTCTTTTCAAAAGTAACAAGTATAAAATAAAACTCCTTAAGGCAACCTTTGAATTATCATTACTATACCAAGTATGTAATCACCCTTCAATACAATTTATTTAGACGAATTTATGGCAGATATCATGGTGTATAGCTTAGCTTGAAGCCCACTCTTAACTCACTGATATACTGTAACAATTGTTATATGCTTTTCCCCCTGACAAATTTATACCCATCATAAAAACTGCTAAAGGGTATGCCGTGATTCGTCAGTGCCGCAATCTCCCGCACTAACAAGGCATATTAAAAATGTTTACAATCGCATTTTCACAACACTTTGCAGTGATTTTAACTGCAAGTGGGCGTGAAAGTAGCGTTGATTAGATAGAGCCGGAGTAGGAGGCTAACAGACACAGTAGCTGGCCAACTTGAAATCAATTAAAATCACTCGCTACTACTGCTACCCTCGCCGAGCAGGCCATATAAGTGCGGAAAATCCATTCAACTATTTAATCACCTTTCGCTGCATCCTCGCTGCCAGCAGCTTTCATATTTCATTTCCATTTTTTGAGTGCCAATGCTCTTTGTTTTGTACAGGAGTTGGGAGCCCTGCCGGCGCATTAATTTAAGCCGCCTGGAACATAAAAGCTGTTCGCAAAACTAAGCCGATTTAAGAGCACATTTGAATTCAAATGCCGTTCGTCGAAATAAAAACTAAACGAATCTAGAGCCGGGAGTCGGAGTCGGAGTTGGAGCCCTTTTCCCCGTGAACCCGTGAACGAAAAGGGAGTTTAAATGGCACAAAAACTGTCTGCAAAGTTTGCGTCTGAAGTTTTTAGTTTTTCGGGCGAATGCAAAAATTATAATCCTTTAAACGGCAATCGAGCGTTGTTCTGCGGAGCGCCGAAGATTAAGCCCAAGGAGTGCTCTCTAATTATGGGATGTAATCGAGGGATATAAGAGTAGAAATATTATGGATACATAGACATACAAATGTAGTGTATTGTTTCATTTTTTAAGGATTTGTTTATTGTTTAATTTTTATTACAATTTTGAAAGAATTTCATTAATTAAATTATTGTTCTTTTTTTTCAAAGAAAACACAAAAGGCTTAATCAGTTCTTCGTATTTCATGCTTTTCTTAGAACCTTACCTTCACACTCACTTTCAGGTATCACCTTATCTCACCTTTGTTTTATTGCAACCAATCTGCACCGGGTATTTGAGCGTCGGTAAGGCTTCCTTCCTCCTTCACCTGGCGAAGGTGAGTAATAGTTGCCGCTGTAATTGGGGGATTGGGGGGGCGTGTCCTGGCTGACCGTCACAGCAATTAAGGCTGGCCCAGACTTTCAGTAGACGATGCTGATGCCGGGCAGGTTGACATTGGACACCGGACAATGGCACATAAATCACACGACTCGCCGGACAAGGACACCGGGCCAGGTCCTTGGATCCTTGCGGCTAGATGGCTTGAGGGCTTGTCATGCATTTGATTCCGCTGGAGCTCCAGCTCTCGTGGCTCGTTTATTACAGCTCGGCTTTTTACAACTGTTTCAGCTGGTGTTTTTGGTCCATTCTATTTTATTATTTCTGCAGATTCCCGTCGTTTTTATTGCGATTTTCCTTTTTTTTTATATATTTTGTTCGCTTTCACACAGAGTGGCAGCGGAAGCTGGCAGCGATATTTTCCGCCTTTCCTTCACTTCGATTTGGCTTTGTTTCTGCGGGTGCTCCATTATTGTTTCCTTTGATTTATTTTCGGTTTCAAGTGATTTCCGCCAGCATTCAACACTTTATGTTTGTTTTCGACCGTTTTTCACTTTTTGTTCCAGAACCACCAGACGTCCTTTCGGGCTTTTCTTGTTGCATTTTGAGCAAAACTCTTGGTGCAAACATTTGTCATTTTGCGGACTTGTGTTGGATTTCCATTGGTTTCTGGTGTTTCTGGGGTTTTCGGGGTTTCCTTTTGCACTTTTGCCCGGCTTTTGATTTGCGGTGCTTAATCGTTGGCAGCGTCTGCGGATTTCGTGTTTTTAAATGCAGCCAAAAACGAGGCGAAGCTGGGTTCTGTTCTGGCCATAAATTTGCTTGGCTTTGCTTGAATTTTTTGTTGTTCGTTGGTAGCCAGCACACGTAATTGAAAGCAGCGGGGCAGCTTCTGGTTCTGGCCATTTCGTTTGGTTATCCAACTCGCATTTTTCGGGGCCAATTCCCACTTTGATTCCATCCCGGTGGTTCAATGGCATCGCCTGCACTGAGCCCATTGATTAAGGTTCCTCCTTGGATCCTCCATGGGTTCCATGGCCGGGTGGCTTACCAAAAACTGGCCCGCAGGCTCTTTCGCTGCCTTGTAATCTGTCAAAATTGGCAGCGTTCTGGCTAAGCGGAAGTTCGAACAAAAAATGTGCCACACTAAACTGGTTATTTGTGGGTACACCGAAAAAATATATTTTTTTGAAAATTCTAACATATTGTGGAGAAATATTTTATTTATAATTTATCCAAAGAGATTATTTGGGAGAGTGTTTTAGAGTATATATATTTAATATTTCCAACGATTTATTATTTTAAAAAATATTTATAAATACCTTTCTTGTAGTGCAAACTGTTCAGACCCTGCTTGCAGTTCAATGTCCTCGGTGGGCGTGTCAATTGACTTTGAAATTCGCCAGCCTCCTCTTCGACTTTCTTGTTTTTTTCCATATATACTTTTTTTCTGCCATGAGAATGCATTTATGTCTGCAATGATCGCATAACTGGCACTTGAATGAAGCCAGTCAGTCGCACAGTAAGTCGTGAAGTCTGTGAAACCGAAAGTCTTAAGCCCGGCCTGGCAGACATTTATTATTATTATTTTAATCAACTTTCACACACAGGGAGAGCGAGTCAGCGACACTATATCTGCGGCTCAGCCCGGCCAGCTGTAATTGATCACGCTGCGACAAATATTTATGCCAGAAAATAGAGCCCCCGACACTGAGCCAGCAGTATCTCCTAAGCTGCACAAATAAACACGAAGAGCAGCAAATTCGTATTAAGCGATCAATAATCATGGGTAAATACGCCAATGTGACGCCGCCGGCGATAAAGCCAGAAATATTAACGCAACAGCGGGCGAAGGAGGAGGGGCAGGAGCAGGACCACAGTCATGGAAGGGAGCAGAGCCCAGACCAGTTTGGGCCTGGCTCGTTGCAGATAAACAATAGAAAAGCATAGACGCAGCAGGAAGGGTCAAGCGCCCGGGGCTGTGGAAACGCAAGATACCGGGGCCAAAGACTGAAACCGCAGAGAGATGGTCAGCTGGGATGGAGCTGGGGGAGGGTGGACTCCAATGATGATGATGATGAGCATAGCAAATACAAATTATGGCTGAAAAGCGCTACGTAAATACTGCAATCATTTTAATAGACCAAAAACGGCGGCGCATAAACCATAAACCAAACGCCAGAGCTCCCCGACCACAGATCTCTGGAATGGGTATGGGTATGGGGATGGAGATGAAGATGGGATGGGATGGTTTGGGACCTTAGACGGAGTCTCTTCTCGCTGGCCTCGAAGTAAGTGGCCAAAAATGGACAGCCAAATGTTTCTATGGGAAGTTGAAGGCGTTCGGAGATGGGCGATGCTGCGATGTTGCAATGTGCCTTTTGCTGTTGCTGTTGATGTTGCTGCAATGTGGCAACAAACTGGCACGCGAGCAGCGAAAATTGCGGGCAGCCAATGATGCGGTTTCCCTTGCACTAAAAAAATATACATAGATACATTTTATATAGAGATTCAACCACATTTTGGTCACTTAAATTTCAAAGTTTGTTTGGGGTTTACCATAAAATTCCTTCCAGAGTTTAAAAAAGATTTTTTTAAGGATTTGTTTCAAGAGCTACATTTAATTTATGATTGAAATATTAAACCCAAATAGATATAATGATATTTTAAATGGTATTACTGAGTAATCCTATCTTAAATTCATAAATGAAAAATTCCATAAATTATTGTAAATTCTTTCCGAATTATAAATTCTTCTAAAAATACATTTTCCACTGTGCACAACTTAAGCATTGGAAATTAGCGTAGATAAATATTTCTGCAGAAATTCCTCAGCCGATGACCATTGATCGATGGTTGGAGGGAAGTAAGAGTTCGAGTGGGTGTGGATCTTGGGTGTGCATTGTGTGCATTTCTGGACTTACAGATCTATGGTTTTGTGCGATTTCCTCGGTGGGAGAATGCGAATTCCAATGTGTCTTGAGCACTTGCGGTTTGCAAATTGCAGACAGAATCACTTGCAGGAGAATCGGCAGGCTTTCCTCGGATCCTCGGCACCTCCACTTGGCAGTGGATCATCGCTCGGCGCTCCGTGGGGTGATTTGTGTCGGATTCATGGCCGTCTGATAGACAGCTACAAGCGCACTTAATGCGCTCGACAGGAGTTGGGGCCTGCAAAGGGGGAAGTATCTTTTAGCTATCACTCGCGCGTAATGCTTCGGCGGCGTGCAAGATACAAAGCAGATGCTTCAACGTTCCCTCCCCCCATTATTTAGTGGAACGAACTACATACTCCCACCCCCCTTTTGACGAGCTCATCCAAATCCAACTGCCGCCCCTGTCAATTTTGAGGCATTTATTTCCATAGTCTTAGCCGGCTGGGCTCTGGCTCTCTCTCCTCATTTCGAGAGTTGTAATGTTTTCCTCTCTGAAGTGTTTTCTCGCATTGAGTGTGCGCATGCGCTCTCCAACTCTACACAGATTTTGATGTTTGTTTTGCTCGTCTCATTCGTAACAAAGCAAAGACTAAAAGAAAAGCAAGAGGAATTTAAAAGACTAAAATTAAGAGGTAAAGTGAGTAATTTAATTTACAACCAGAAGCCTAAAAAATAAAAATAAAATGGAAAAAACTAATAAGAAATTTAAACATGTTTTACTTATAAAATAAATATATATAAATATTTTATTTGTATATTTATATATTTATATATTTTTTATAATACCGTAATAAACAGAATAAATACTTACCTTATCTTAAAAACAAAAATAAACTTCATTATCCTTTTAAAAAAGGATATTTAAATTCATAATTCATTACAGTGTTTTTACAAATAATAGAAATTTATAAAATCTGTTAAATTAAATATATTAAAAATATATATTACCCTTTTTTTTTAATATCCAAACCCCTTTACCCCGAGATTAACTTTTCCACGTGCGCTAGCCTCTCGCGCTCTCCACTTGGTGGAGTGCCGGCATTTGAAACTCTCCAAAGTTGGCGCCAAAACCATCCCCCAACACCATCCACACTCGCTCGCGGTCCACTCTGAAACGGGTTCCACAGGGGGCTCAGCAGCGCGGCTCCAAAATAACCGCAGGCGGCCGTAGAGTATCTACAAGATACTCTGTGCGTTCAGTTGCTGTTGGACCGTCGCACGAATCGCACGCTCTCAGCGCTATATCCGGTCTTATCCCCTCAGTCCGGATTGCTCCGTCGCCGCCGAATCGTGAGCAGTTTCGGGTTTCGTCGCTGTCGGTTTTCCGTCTCGGTTTCGGTCGCTTGATCAGCGCTTTCTTGTCGTCTATTGGCAATCGTCTTGATTGCCCTCGTGATTGATGGACTGCAGTTGCCCCGGCGCCTTCGGTCAGTGCAGTCTGTGCAGCGCTGAACTCTGACCTCGTTGAAAATCAAATCTAAAATACATATATCGCAAATAAAGCGAACAAGCGAACTGAACAATCTGAAATTGTGCGCGCCTTTATGGACGGACACTCGAACCCTCGGAAAAGGGAACTTTTTATGACGGTCCCTTGACCAATTCTAAAACCTACAAAAAATCATCAATGAGTATAAAGTCAACGGAAGAATATATCAAATAAAAAAGTTCAATTTCGCCGGTTTACTTTTTTTGTTGTTGATATGTTACTGCGCCTCGCTCCCTTAGCTTTTTCGATATTTTTCGGTTAGCGTCTCGGCGTCGTGTGCGCGGGCTTCATAAATTATACAAGAGCGCATTTTGCGAACGACTTGCAAATAAATAAGCATTTACGCTTTTATTATTGCCCGCCCGCGTGTGTATGCGGCTGTGTGTGCGTGTGCAGTGTGTGTGCTGTGTTGCTCTTGAGTTTGAGCCTGAATTTGAGCCAGAGTTCCCTGGAAATCGCTCCCATGTGGCGCAGGAAATAAAAGCGTAGAAGGAGGAGGGTTCCACTTAAAATATCATCTTCTGCATACAATCACCATACATATACCTATGAATGTGCTCTCGGCTCGTCCATAAAAAATATTTCGGAAACCGCTCTGATTTGTGTGTGCTGATAAGCCAGTGATTGCCAGCCGTAAAACAGCGAGCCGTAGCCCGAACCCCGGGCCCCCTTGTATAAAGACATCACAAGCAGGTAAGTGCGGGGGTTAAAGGCCCCATTATAAAGACCTCATCACGCACATTGAACTTCAGCGTCAACTTCTACTTCGAACTGAAAAGTGCAATGACACCTCTTAGAGCAATGCATCATCATTATGCAAATGGGCAAATGGCGAAATGAGCAGGCGTGCTCCTGCATCCCGATGCAACCTCATCCTCATCCTCATCCCCAACCCATTCCTATTCCCATTTCCCATCCCACCTCCTGCCAGCGATCTGCATAATTGGAGCGCCGTGCTGGGTGTCTCTAACTGGCTCTAATGAATAAATAAGTGCCACTAATAGTTTTCGCACTTCCTGTTGTCGGCCAGCCGGCAGAATGGCAACTGGCAAACTATCAGCTCATCAAATTGCACTCGGTCTCAGCTGCCAGAACTGAATCACGGCAGCAGGCTCTACAGAGGAGCAACCACAACATTGTGTGTAGCTTGTCCATGTTGACAATATTTAATTATGAAGCTGCCATTGCGAGAACCTAGCTTTCGAGATACTTTTTCTTTTCTATTTACTCTAAGGTTACACAGAAAAAATAATAAATAAATTGTGGAGCTTAAAAAAAATTTGATTGAGGAAAAATCTTGTAATATTAAAGGATTCTTCTCTATAATAGAATCTCTTACAATTTATATTAAAGGTTACCTTGGAAATCCTTGAAATATTTTATTAAAATCACAACAGTTTGTATCCAAGTTAAAGTTTTTATTATTATAATTTTTTGGTGTCTACAAAAAGTTCTTTTGGAATGTTGGGTCAAGTCAATTGGTCCATTGTGGTTGTTGCAACAAGAACTTTAGCTGCTCTTGTTGATGTTGCTGGTTCTTTTGCTGTAAATGTTGCTGCTACTGCCGCTGTCATCCTCAACATCATCATCGTTGTCATAATCATTTTCGTTGCTCTTTCCCACACAAATCGGCATAAAAATGTTTTCATTTTGCGCATTTACTTTCTGCCCTTTTTTTCTTTTCTTTTGAGTTAAAAGAAATTCTTTCTATGGAAATCTTAACAGTTGCCATGGCAAATGTTTTCGCAATTACGACTATTTCTTGAAATATTTTTATTACAAACTTTCTCATTCTGTAAAAAATTGCGTTTTTATATTATTCTTCCTTTTGCCTCGCGGGGGAATTTCTTTTATTAGTTTCGGATATGAAAACGAGTTTGATTTGATGGCAGTTTAAAGTTGTAAGTTGAGCAGAAAAAGCATGTAAAAACAAGGTTTTTCATAGATTTAAAAGGGAAATTTGGTATCTAAAAATATTTTTAGTAATACAGAAGTTTTGTTTATATTTTCAAAATTGTATTTAATGTATAGGAATAATTTTTAATTAAATTTTAATTAACAAAATGACCTTTCAATTCAGAGTATCCGAGTATTTACTGCCTCTCATAACTGCAACTTTGTCACACATTTTATCGGTTGCTTTTTGCGTGTGAAATTTTATTTGCACCGCTGACAAAAACATTTCCTGTACAACTATTTTGTGCACGGATGCCCCGCTTCGGAGCTCCGGTCTCCCCCGGATCGTCACCGGTTCCACGGACAACTGCCCCATCATAGACATCCAGATAGGCATCAGTCAGACGAGGAAGGGAGAGCAGGGACCAGGGAATTGGGACCAGGGAACTGGGAACCGGGAACGCGAACGCTCGACTGACACGGACGGCTATGACTTGCGCAAATAACTAAAGTAGGGAAAAATGAACAGAAAAATAAATAACATTTTCCAAAGAACCGCTGTGACTTCCTCATTTGCTTATCGGCGGAAAAGAGGAGGAAATTTAAAATCAGCCAGGAGATGGCTGCGCTTGATTTCACTCACGCAGACTCATCAACTTTTAATTAGTTGTAATTTGTAAATTCAACGTCAAACACCGACCACGCAGTTCGGCTCCGCGGGGCCTTTGAAGATGCCGCAAATGCGGATGATGATGATGATGTTGTTGTTGCCACACTGACAGATTGCTGATAAAAGGCTCCCCAGCTCCCATGTCCCACCCCAAGTCGAAAGCCGCCTGGTTAACCCTTTCAGCCGCCTCTAATCGCCGGCAAAGTCGGGCCACGAGTCGCGGTCGAAAAGCGAAAAACGCCCATCCATCAGCGATGAGCGGCAGCTGTCAGCGGGTTTTTGGTTACCAATTCTCCCGTCTCTCGGTTTCTGGCTAAATGGATTGGCCTCCGCGCCCCCCTAACAATCGAAATTTGACAAAACTGTTTCGGTTATAAATGACTCTTTGATGGTCATAAACGGTGTCTAAACGAGAAATTGATGTCGGCATTGAAATCATTTAATTTCGGTTGTCACATTAACCAGGCAGAACATCACATTTTAAAGGGGTTTCCGAGGTTGCTCTGCCATGTTCTCTCCATTTCTCATATCACTAATCATCCCCAAAGGGTCGTAAATCAAGCGATTCCCATCTTAGGCAATAAAATAATGCTCCACAATGTAATTTCTGGTTGCTGTATCCGCTTTTTTAATTAGTGACATTATAAATGTGCACTAAAAACAGGAACTTTACGATCTAATTTTATGGCTTTTGCAAATTTATAGACTTTTGGCTCATGTGACACAAAACACAAAACTAACAGCGGCAGCAGCAGCAGCAGCAGCAGCAGCAGCAACTTTCCTAACAACCTCTATAAATCCCCTTCTTTCCCGGCTCAGCCGAGGCACTTAATTAATTTCTGTAAAAACTTTAAGAACAAAGGGCTGTTCTCGTTGTCGTCGCAGTTGTTTAGCTCAGTTCGGGTAGCACGTTAATTTCCAATTTGAAGCGAAAGGAAAATACTCGGCGGTAGGATGGGAAAATGGCTGGAAAAAAAAAAAGTGAACAAGTAATGTCATACATAGGAGCTGCAAAATCAAAGCCCAAAGAAACAACGACGGCGGACAACTAACTGCAAACTTGCAGCCGTAGAGAAGCTGAAACGCAGCAGAAGCTTGCACCAGTTTCGCAACTGAGCAGCAGCAGCAACATCAGCAGTTCTCGATGCTGAAACAGTTACCTGGGCGCTAAACAAAAAACACAAAAAGCGTTGAAAAACTAAAAGGAAAACTGGGGGAAAAACACTGTGCACAGTAACCAAGTGAACCAAACTGAGAAGAGATGAAGATGAAGACTGAAGCTGTACAGAAAGTACACTGCAGGCCAAAAAAAACTAAATGAAATCGATATAAATATGATACTAGACATAAGAAAATGGTAATATAATTTTTAGAAATTTGAATTATCCCCATGAACTTTGTTTTGCCTAGAGCCTCGACTCAAAATTCATCTATCACAATATTTTTTCCTTCAATTTTTTATAATAAGAAGCTGCTTGAGTTATTTAGTTTCCTGCAGTATAAGGAAAGGCTTTAGAAAGTAGCCAAAGAGGTGGAAGAGATAGATGGGAGCGTTGCAGAACCCGTTGGCAGCTCCGCGGCTCACTTCGCCTTGCGTGATGCAATTGCCGGAGGAGCAGCGTTGGAGCGCCAAAAGATTGAAGGCAAACGACAGCCACGTAACTAGAACACTTGACGGTGATGCTGCTGCTGCTGCTGCGGATGCCTCTGCTGCAACAATTTCCAATTAAAGCAGTTACTGCTGCTTCTGGGAGTTGCAGGCTAGAGATTGGAGTTGCTCGGGGAGCTGGCTTATGTGTCGCTTGCGCAATCATCATACAGGCCACCTCTGACAGCTCCAACTGCTCCTTCGACTGGCGCAGCCTCTATTTGATTTTCTATTGCCACTCTCGGTTGCGGGACAGGAAGCCATCCGTAATGGACCTTAAAATACACACTTTATGCCCAGCTAACCATCCCCAATTAGTGCCGCGGGTTAATTGCAGTGACGCATAGTTGCTGCTCCCCGATTCCCGATTCCCCATGGCCTATAGCCGATGTCCAATGTCCGATGCCATAATCCATCTCCATCTCCGTTGAAAGACGCTCCCAGTGGAAAAGGTATACAAGTCGGAAGCTAACGGCCCGCGATTCAGAGCTAATTGATCATTAGGTCTATTTCCGCAGTGAGATGGCAACTTGGCTTTTCAACGAGTTTTTTACCCTTGGCCAGCTCAGTTTTTGTTTCTTTTTTTTTCATAAGTAAGTCATAAAGTGGCAACTTTTATGACAACAGCAACTGCCAGGGCGCATGTTGCACGCAATCGGCTAAAAAAGGAGCGCTAACCTGGGCCAAAATCCAACGAAATTCCAACTTTTCCAACTTGGCTTGGCTTTGGGTTGGGCTGATTTCCTTTGCATCGACAGTGGCAATAGTTTTTTATGGGTTCTGGCCAGGCAGGCCAAGTTCTGTTGGCAACTGGGAATCGAGAACCCAATGGCGGATGGGCAGCGCCAACAGAAGGCCATAAAAGAAAATATGCTGCATGTAAGAGTCTAGAAAAAAGACCAGAGAACTGGGTGAAATCGATTTGTATACGGTATGTAGTTCTTTATTACAGTTGCGGCCACGCCGATGAAGACTTTTGTAGAGCTCAGCGGAGGAGAAAAAATCCACTATGGGGGTGGGGAAAATGCGCTTTGTTTTTCTTTGTCTCCCCGTCCCAAACCCCACTGATTGATCATTGGAGGGGAGAAAGAAATGGAAACGGAGAGGGAAAGGAGCCACTGGTAATCAGAGATCATCTGGGGGAGTAGAGTGCATGGTCCAAGACAGTGACTAGACAAAAGGCATAACTACGTAACTAAACACTTAAAAAAAAATAAGTTATAATTAATAAGTCAACAATTGGTAAAGATAACTATACCTGCTCTGCTTAAGATGCAATTTAGTTTATATTTAAACCCACAAGATACATTGTTTCTAAAGTTATCTAACAGTAATTAAGACACATTTTTCTATATGTAGCAAAAGAGAACATAACTAACTACCCACCTTGAGCCTTCCAGCATTCAAACTGCCAGGAATCAGCGCTGACTGATAGATTTCCCGACAGTCACTGACCCACTGCCCACATGCAAATGAGGC